AAGTGAAAAAGTGTGTGCCAAATCAGAAAGTTCCAAAGTGGATTCTAAAGCTGATGGCATTAATGATGATCCTATTTGCATGACTGATCATGTCCTAACCCTAACAGATGTACAATTAGTGGAAATTAAGGGCCATTCAGAAGCGGCAACTCTCAGAGGCAATAATCTGGAAATATCAGACAACAGTGCCTTCACTGATACACCAGGTTTAACAAATATTGATGAACCTTTTATTACAAACAACGGGCATATCGAGAGAAATAACATGTACAATGCTAATAAGTCATCTTTAAAATCAATGATAAAACAATTGTCTGAATACAAAAATAATGACAATTTCGTGACTGGTACTCCAGTCAGGGTTAAAAGAAAAAGTGCTGCGAGAAAAAGAAAACATACTAAATATTCCCAAGCCGCAAAAAGAGATAAGATATTCAAGGCCTATCAGTCACATTTGAAAACTCGGGGGAAAATATCAACTAAAAGCAGTCAAGCCAAGAAACATAATATAGCAACAACCAAACCTAATACTAATGTCACGAAAATTCCTAGAGTAGAAAATAATTTAAGAATATTTACAGAAGGAGAAAACAAAAATGACGCGTCGTTAGCAAGGGAAATTAAAGAACAAGTTCATGAAAATAATATTGCTGACAGAAAAGATACCACGAACCTGACAGTTTTGTCACCCGAACAATCGACAAGAAAAAGTAGGAAGCAGAAAAACAGGAAGGATATTTGTTGGGCGATATCTGTTAAAACAGTGAAGAAACGAATACCTGACAAAAGCTATGTTGTGAAACGTGACAAAATAGGGATTACTGAAATGCTTCCAAAGAGTGAACCAGTAACTGAATTCAGCAAGGCTATTGCACAGCATAAAGTTGATTCGACTGAAGTCCGAATTGAAAATAAACTAAAAGGAAATGAAAACTGCAAGGATGTAGCAAGGGATAATGTTGACACAGCTAAACTTGCATCCGAGAAACCTGAAAATGACATAATAACTGTAAACGGCAAAGATGCACCAAGAGATGATGCCTATGAGACTGAGGCGCAATCTTTAGAAATTACAAGAGAGCAATTAATTGGAAACGGTGTTAACACAAACAAGGACGATTCAAAATTATCAATACCTAAATGTGTCAAAGATACTCCGTCTACCATTGTAACTGACAAAGGATTGCACCATAAATCTGAAAATGAAATATCTCAGAAAATTGCAGTTGGTGGAATCAAGAATGTGTCTAACCGTTCCGAACCAGTGGCCGGAACAAGTCAAAATACAAACAACGAATACACTTCTACCGCTGAGAAATCCTCTGAACAACCAGTGAGGAATATCATCACTAAATCAGAAGTTTTATTTAATACAGAAGATTCTTTGAATCCCGAACAGTTCCCGCTGAAATTAGCAAAAAGTGCTGATACTCGTTTGAGTGTTGTGAATGAAGAATTAAAAAGAGAAATCTCACTAACCTCGGCAAAAACTCTAGAAACACTTGGTAGTCGTGTAGCTAAAACTGAATGTTTGTTGGATATTTTCGTACACCCTGCTTATCCAGGGGAAGACCCGAAACCTGTTAAAGTTCGAGTACCGTCTCATATGATCAGAGATGGCTCTGCAAAGACATTTGTTAAGACTTTAGAACGTAATGTTATGACAGCCGATGTGAAAAAGTTTGGTCCACTGCGGGTACCAAAAAGAACATCAAAACAACATCTAAAAAAGTGGTCAAGTCTTGTCAAATCAGAAGACACTTCAAAAGTACGCTGGAGACAAAAAGAAGGTAAATAATGTAATAAAATGTTAGTATATAACATTAAGATTCCAAGATTTGTCATAATCACGAGGCACAGACACTGTAACGTAGTGGAGCCAATGTGCTTTTAGGAATCTAATCAGATGAACCTCGATCAAACAAATGCCACAGCTGTATATCGGTTAGTCGTCCACCGCTGAGGTCCAAACGCATAAAACATAAAACACAGATCAGTAGGGCCACTTAAAACAGGAAGATATGCAAAAGATAATCAAGAGAGATAAACTGAAATAAATTGAGAAAAAAAAAGTTTTGTGACCCTTAGTCCGATTTTAATAAAAAGCGTTGCAACGCTTTACAATTTTTGGTCAGTTTTCATTATTTAAAATATTATTCTGGGAAAAAAAACTGAGTGAGCAAATGATCTGAAATTTTGCACACAAGTTATTGGCCTTAACTTACATCAAATGAAAAATTAATCTCGAAGAATTATTTCCGTTCCCGTCATGCCAAAAACCGCAGTGGAGTCCCTTTAAATGTACCAAAACATTTTAACTCAGCTGAATCATGGCATATAAATATTTTACTATTAAGGTCATCATAAAAGGGTACTTAATTTATACTCAAATAATTAAAGGTTGGAAACAAAGTTACCTGGGTGAGCAGAAAGAATGTCAGTCCACAGCGCTATCATTTTTTTTTTAATTTTGAACTTGGGTTGACTTCTGTATTCATACTTACATGGTTCAAGATATAAAAAAAATGGAACACCAGCATAAAACAATACAGTATAATATTGTGGCGGCATGGCCGAATGGTTAACGCGTCGAACTAGTAATCTAATGATCGCTAGTCGCATAGGTTCAAACCCCGTCAGGGGCAAGTCGTGAGCAAGAAACTTTACACTCATTGCTTAGTACTGGCTGGTTCCAGGAACGGATTCGAAAGTGTGTCTATAAGCTTATAGCTTCCTACACAATAAATTCTGTATAAACCAACAATACAGTTTTATATTTAATCTGAGGCTGACGTGTTATTTACTCCAAATAGAGAGACTTGAATAAATTTGATATACGTAAATTTAACTCGTGTTAAATCTAAAATGACATTACATCATATAGGTCAAGTTTCCGATGTACAGTTGAGTCAGGTTCCACGATATTATGAACCCTCCCCCAGGCGGAAGAATATGAGAGAGAGGATGGGTCTCGAGGCGTTACAAAAATACAAAGTTCAAGTACAGTGTAAAGAGATTGAAAGAATCAAAGTTAACGCAGATTGTAAGTTCTTACTCACATTTTCATGAATTTATGCAATATAATGATTCCTTTTTAGACAGTCCAGATACGTTTTGATACAGATAGAGGTCATTTTTATAAAAAAAACTGTTCAAGCGAGTTGACGTGTTGAAATCAAACGTATATTTTAAAACTAATGCAATAACCATGTATTTCTTTATTTTATTACTATATTTATTACTGTAACTAGCTACATGAGAAAAAGTGTGCAATTCGAGGCAGTTAAAATGTCGCCTGTAAGGACACTATAAACCTTTAACGTGTGAAAATATTGCATCAATTGGAACACCTTGACTTTTATTCATAATAATAATAATCAGTATCTAGAGTTGGACTGAAACAAAACGATAAGATACGATTGGATTGTATATCAACAGGCGACATTATGGCAAAAACAGGACACCATACGAACTAGGAAACAAATGACAGGTTTGATGTAACATGTTTTAGTTAAACTGTAAAGGGGTCTTCATGGATACAATGTAAAATACAAGACTATATATATGTATTCATAAAATAAATCAGCAAGAGTTTGGAGTTTTCCTATGTATCATATAGTTTGCGATTTCATATTGCAGTGTTTCCGGGCATCCTTCCACCAAAAATAAAAGAAAAGCTGAACCGGGTGTTAGAGGCCAGAAGATGAAATGTGAAATGCATGCCTATATTTTACTGGTAAGTTCGTGTGACATTGCGAACAGAAAATGACCAACACACATTTAGGACAGTAGATTATCTTATTTCCATATCCGAAGTTTGACGGAAAGGGCCGAGAAGATGCGACAATGAAAAATATTTTATTTTATTGATTACAAAATTAGAAGGGAATCTTTACCGAACGGGAAAGTAGTAGGCGATTCCCCTTTTCACTTTTTAAATCAGTGAAAATGTCTCGATCAGACAAGAAAACCATTTTTTCGTGTCAATAATTATCAAAACAGATCCTCCGTGGCCGAGTGATTAAGGTCGTCGACTTTAAATAATTTGCCCCTTACTCCTATAGGTGCCCGTCCGTGAATGAGATAGTGCCATGGCATCCCCCGTAAAAAATCATATAAAAATTAGGATGCACAACTGCCAATACAATTTTTACTGCGTAGTTTTTGTTGTCGTCATATTTAAGAGTGTGTGGAGCAATTCTATGCATTTATATTGTTTAGCCTTTAGCCTACTGGCAGCAACTTATATTAAAGGTTTGGAAAAAAATGGATTGTATTAGTTTATGCAATGTACATGCTTGTAATATATTTTTAGTTCTGACTGTGTATAAAGGTACGAAGCTTATAGATCTATAGACAAACCCTCGAATCCATTCCTGGAACCAAGATTGTTTTTTTTTATTAATTGTTTTTATTAATTTATTGAACAACACCGAACTGTCACACAACTACGGTGGCACAAAGGTGACATGAGTGTGTTTTTACTTATCTCGCACGCACGAGATACTATGTCCTGGCCACGAGTTACTTAGTCCTGGCCACGAGTTACTACTTAAGTCGTGGTCACGAGATAGGTAAGCCGTGGGAACGAGATAAGTATGTCTTAGTATCTCGTTCGCACGACTTAACTATCTCGTGGCCACGACTTAGTAACTCGTGACCACGTGCGAACGAGATAAATAAAATCTCACACATGTCACCTTGTGTCACCGTATACAACAGAAGTCAATATCCAGAAATTGTAAAAAAAATTTTAAAAGTTTTCAAAAACCTATAAAATTTCTATTCAGTATAAGACAAGAGATATACACACGACACCTGGTTAATATAACATCTTGACATTAAGCATTTATTTTAATTCAATTTAATATGCACTCATCAAGGGAAAGAACTTGTACTGTTATGTTTAGTCCAACGAATTGCGTCCCTTGTTTAAATTGACGTACTTTCCTCGACCAATCAGATTTTACTATCGAAATGTTGCTCAGTTTGCCATCTGTATCAATTGTTTCAGGCCTGGAACCAATCCATAATGAAAGTCGCCATTTTCTCATCACCACACCCTTGGAGTATAAATGTAGAGCTGATGGACTGAATTAGGGTCTGAAAAAGACCCTTTTACAGGCCCATTAACTTTTAAAGACTCAATGGAACTTGAAAATATAGTCGCAAATACCGTATACCTGAAAGCACGCGAGGGTAAGTGGAGTAGAAGTTACCGAGTGCTGAAAATCGGATGACTTATTTTCTTCTATTTTCGTAAAGTAAACTTATCGTACACACGAACCGTTTGTCAGTTTCAGATGCTTACATTTCAGGTGGCGGTGGAAAAAGAAAAGGCAAAAGCAAGAAATGGAAGCAGATATTAAAATTCCCTCACATATCACAATGCATGGATTTAAAGAACAAAATAAGTGAGTAGACCTACATCTGAGTTTATTTTGCATCAGACTTAAGTATTTAATATATATTTTACCTTCAACTGGAACACTCTTGCTGTCTTGTACCTGTGAATTTATGGATCATTGAAGGATCTGTTCCTTGGGTGGCATTGTTGTGGGATGCCTTTGATATGAAAATCTGGGACATAATTTAAAGGGATAAGCAACTGAAGTTTACAGCTTGCAATGTCGTTGTCAAATATTGAAATAAGGGAAACTTGCTGCTAGTCCAAGTAATAAGACTTGTCAAAGAGATTTGTATCATAGAAAAGTTTGGAAGGGCGATGTCTTTTTGCAAATGGTTTGACACTATACTAAAGTCTGTAAAATGGGTCAAACCGTTCACGCCGAATTAGGCTAACTTGCTGCCATTTTATCATATTGGTCGTTACAAAAGGTTATTTTATCTGCATTAAGCAGGTGTTATAAGAGAAATATAAACTATCTTCACTTGTGTCAGATTTTAATAATTGTTACAATTCTAAAATTCTAAATACTTAGAATTGTCTTAACAAGATGTTATGAAACCTAATCGGTGTAATTATTTATGTCAACAGCGTTAATCCTGTTAAATCAGCTGTCAGTTGGATGCAAACATATAAGCTGTCATCTAATAGGTAGTTGCTTGTCCTGTTATATTTTGCCAAGGGAAAACTTCCAGGTCTGTGAACATGAAGTAATACATGCATCAATTGTAAATAGTTAGCTGGCATATTACTAATAATAAACTTGTCCTCTTTCTTTGAATTCTGGATCTTATTTCAATATAACAAGGGAAGATAAAAGGGACTTATAACTAATAAGTATACAAGCCAAAAGGAATTACAAGTAAACCAGGCAGAATTTGATTGTTAAAAACTGTTTAAATGTCACACAAATCTAGAAGTAAGGATTTTATTGAAAAGGAATCTGTAATAGGAAATACTACAAGTCGCATGAGATCTTTTGCCAGGTTTAAACTTTAGAAAGTACAATTTTAATTAATTTGTAATTAATCAAATGTTTAAAATGTAGTCCATTTCCTCGGGGTTTTTTTCTAGACCAAGTTTAGACAAGTATTCGGTTACATGCAATGATAAAAATAAATAATGTCAAGTATTTCACTATAATGTTCTAAGTTCATGTAAACTATGGACAAATTTATGCTATCAAAATAATAATTATCATTTATGTCTCATTTTAATACTTTTCATGCTTAATCTTGAATCTGAAATTGCATGTTATAAAGCCATGTCTCATGTGCTGTACACTACACTATTTATATCCTTGAATATGCACTTACATCAAAGCAAGCTTTATAACCTTGAAATTCATAATTTGGGTCAAGAAATTGTTGACTTTTGAGAGATATTTGATTACTCAAACATGTAATTATCTTTCAGATTGGAGTAATTTTCATTTAAAGATATCTAACCAGTTTAATTTATTCCCAATATAAATTATATAAATCTGTTGTAAATTTATGCAGTAAGTTCATTAATAAACCACATTTTATAATTTGATAGGGACCAGAATTCATGCAGTGTTTTAAATATGAACTTATAGTTATGTAACTTATTCAATCAAACATGGAGATATTAATCTCTAAGTTAAAGCTGAATTGACTATTAATATAAATAAATGTAAATAAGACAACAAACATGAACATGTTTTTAAAATTTCCAATTTTGGCGTTATATCAGACCCAAAAAAGCAAAGAAAATGAAAAAAATCAAACAAAATCTTTGCATCACTATTGTCAATTTCCTCTTTGAACATGGTATTTTTTTTCTAAAAATTGGTGGAGGAATTGTTTCAGAGAGCTCAATCTGGAGAACTGGTCAGTGTAAGTTATATTTTGGGAGGAACCAAATACATGTAATGGCAGATTGTGAGTGTTACTTGCTTTAAAATGAATATTGTGTATAAAAACAAAAGAAATACTTACATGAGAGATACAGGTAATATTTCTGCTTTGAATCCCCATTTGACTATTTTGAAAGATCAAAGAAAAGTTAAATTAGGAAAAAAAAGATCAGATATAATATTTGGATAAGTAAACCTTGACATTTGGTTTAATGGCCAGAAATATGGGAAACATTTTAATATTATGTGTTTTAATGAAATAAATGATGGCAACTTAAGGCCTTATTAGGCAGGGACCTGTTTTAAACTCTTTTTTTTTTTATGCAACAACCAATGCCTTTTAAATTTTTTAGCATTGTTACAAAAGTACATTTCAAATTTTAATGAGGAAAATTTTAGAAACCCATAGATTTTAGCATTCACTCTTTCAAACATACCGGTAACTGTTTTTTCATAGGTTAAGCCAAAGGTGCCTTAAAATGTTGAAACAATTTGGGGAAATCATAAAGTCTGTCGGGAATAAGGAACTTTCAATAGTTTTGTCAATTTGAATAAGGCCATTACATTTATTTGATCCCTACTTTATGCAGAAGCATTCACCGTTAGATTGTTACGTGTATGATATTTGACCCCTACTTTATGCAAAAACAATCACTAGTTACATGTATTTCACCGCTACTTTATGCAGAAGCAATCACTGTTAGGTTGTTACATGTATTTGACCCCTATGTTATGCAGAAGCAATCACTGTTACAGTTAGGTTGTTACAAATGTATTTGACTGCTTACTTTATGTAGAAGCAATCACTTTTTAACAGTTAGGTTGTTACATGTTTTTGACCCCTATGTTATGCAGAAGCAATCACTGTTAGGTTGTTACATGTATTTGACCGCTACTTTATGCAGAAGCAATCACTGTTAGGTTGTTACATGTATTTGACCCCTATGTTATGCAGAAGCAATCACTGTTACAGTTAGGTTGTTACATGTATTTGACTGCTACTTTATGCAGAAGCAATCACTGTTAGGTTGTTACATGTATTTGACCCCTATGTTATGCAGAAGCAATCACTGTTACAGTTAGGTTGTTACATGTATTTGACCGCTACTTTATGCAGAAGCAATCACTGTTAGGTTGTTACATGTTTTTGACCACTACTTTATGCAGAAGCAATCACTGTTAATGTAGGTTGTTACATGTTTTTGACCACTTCTTTATGCAGAAGCAATCACTGTTAGGTTGTTACATGTTTTTGACCACTTCTTTATGCAGAAGCAATCACTGTTACAGTTAGGTTGTTACATGTTTTTGACCGCTACTTTATGCAGAAGCAATCACTGTTAGGTTGTTACATGTTTTTGACCACTTCTTTATGCAGAAGCAATCACTTACAGTTAGGTTGTTACATGTTTTTGACCCCTATGTTATGCTGTTAGGTTGTTACATGTTTTTGACCGAAGCAATCACTGCTGGCACTCTTTAAATTAGTACATAGCTATAATGTCAGCATAAGGGAGGCATGGATACTTAAATGATACTAGTGACACTTGTCTTGGATCAAATAATTCTTGGTCATTATTACAACCCTTTGAAATATTGAAAAGACAAGAGTTTTAAGTTAAACATTTAGTATGTAATTTTTTTTCTTTGCTAAACTGGCCCTTCATTTGTTGTTTATCCACATGGCCTAGGTACTTGACCTACCAGTAGGTCTGCTACATATCAAATTTGTCTGCTAGCACCTTTTGTATGATCATGACTTGTTGATAGTCTGCGTTGATCAAGAGATTCTTATATGTAGCAGATATGATGCACTTACTGGAACTTACTCTTACCCCCTTAACATGCTACTGAATTTGTCATACTACTGAATTTGGAACAGTCCATATAAAGTTTGAATTATGGGATTTCAGTACTAAATTTGAGCTACTAATTGTATTGGTCAGATCTGGCTGCAAGTTGTAATGGACTTTACTCAAGATTTTTCTAAATCTTTTGATATTATAATATTTGTAATATTGTTAGCGAGAATGGGTACTTGGGTTCCCATAGATTATCAGTGTCAGGGTATTTGGTTAAAAAATACCTGCTCAGGGCAGTGATGTAATGCTAAATTGCTGTAAAATTCCACAAAATATTCATGTATTCTAATACCCTCCCCCCAATAAATGCAATAATTGTTGCTGTATTATTTAACATTTATGAATCAGCATTTGACATTTCTGTTACCAGACTGTTTGTAACATTTCTATGCTTATCTAGCTCTAACATTTTCTGGAAACATGTACATGTAATGATGTTATATCCAATTTAAAGTAAAAAAAAGTCCAAGGGAACAAGTGCTATTTGATATTTTTTTCTATTTCTCAGACTACCCCCCCCCCTCCTCCCAAAAAACCCAAAAAACATTACAACTTTCCCTTTTACATACTGTGTACATGTATGACATGTACTTTTAGTTTATGGAAAATTATTTTATGTTATAAACTGAACATAATCCTCTGGACTTCCCTAATAGCCTAATTAATATATATTTATATAAAAAGTCTTGTTCTTATATTTTTAAAGTGTTTTTAGTGAACATCACATAGGTTTTGTGTATGTATTTATGCATGTATAGTTACGTTAAAATAAAGCTTTGACACAACACAACATGATAACAATATATATAACAATGCATTCCAGTTAGACATATGAGAAGTGCACAGACGTGTTTTGACCTAATGCAATGGTATGACAGGGTTAAATAGAAAACAGTAGTTGAAAACTCTCTTTGTTCTTATTACAATTGTATTGATCGGGAAAAGCTGCTACTTACGTCAGAAGAAAAAAAAAAATTCCATCGCTCTACAATTGCTTTGGTAATTAATTAGTCAGGATTTTCTGGGCCTTACTTACAAATGAAGCATAGTCACTGCTTTGTCCAATTATCTCTGATTACGTGTAAAACAGAAGTTTTTGTTATCTCTAAGCACCACAGTCCTGCTGTCGACTGTTAAACCGCTGTATTTAGGATTTTCTAAATAAAGCTGTCATGATTCTACCGAAAACATTGCGATAAATTCGGATAATTAGAGTCGACTAATGATGTAATACATTTGCAAAAATTGGGAAATATAAATTTGTCC